ACTCCCAATAAAATGGGGAAGAAATTGTTATGGAAAAGAAAAACATCTAGCTTTGTATTTATTTACATTAATTATTTTTTATTTTCTTTATTATTAACAAACATGCTAAATGCTTGAATTGTCAATATTGATTCAAAGTCAGAATAGAGTTTATGATTTCTTCCATATATACTTCTAGAATAAATTAACTTTAAAACAATCTACACCTTCAGATTATTCCTCAGTTTGGCAAAGGTAATACTACTCTATCTCAATATTTGGAATGTAACATTTTTTCCAGTTTTGGAAACAAAGAATTGAATTTGATATCAAGGCCTATTACAAAAATAGAGAAAGGGATTTGTCCATATTAATTATTCAGATGCAAATCAGCATATTCCTATTTTCCTACCTGATTTTAGCAGTGTCAACATTCAGGCAAATTGGTTTCTTCTCTCACTATCTTTCAGTAGCACATTAACATGCATTAGGTTAAAAAATGTAAGATTCTGTAACAATTACATGAACTACAATAATGAAACAAAAACCGGTGCTTTGAGGAAGACAGCCATGTCAATAGCTACTACATTTTAAAAAGTTAATTTTATTAGTACACTTTTGCTATACATAATGATTAAATTCATCATAGGGAATTTGTACCTGTACATAATATATCTTGATTCTTCCTTTTTCCCCAATCCCCTCTGCTCCCTTCAACCCTTCTTCCTCTCCTCATTCTTTGCTTCCATTTTTTCCTTCTATTCTTTTTTTCTTCTCCCTTTTTTCCTTCCCCCTCACCCCTCCTTTTTTCTCCTTCTCATTTGAACATTTTATTCCTACTTCCCAATATCTATCATTCATTTTGATCCCTATTTACCCTTTCACTTTTTCACATCAGAGAAACAATGTGATATTTAAACATGCATGCTTGATTTATTTCACTAAAAATTATCTTCTCAAGGTATATCCATATACATAAAAATGTCTCAAGTTTGTTCTATTACATTGTATATAAAACTACATTTTCTTTGTCCATTCATCCATTGAAAGGCATGTGGGCTGTTTCCAAGATTTAGTTATTACACATTGTGCTGCTGTAAACATGGGTGCATATATCGCTGTGGTATGATTCTTTTAACTCAGGAAGATATCAAGAAGAGGAATAGCTGGGTCAAATGAGCTTTTTGAGGAGTCTCCTTACTGATTTCCATATTTGTTGTACCAATTTACACTCCCTGCAACAGTGGAGAACGGTTTCTTTTTCTCCACAGCCTCACTAGCATTGATTACTGGTTGATTTCTTGATGACAGTCATTTTTTCTGGAGTGAGATGGAATGTTAGTGTTATTTTAATTTGCATTTTCTAATAACCAACAATATTGAGCATTTTTTCATATATTTACTTGCTCTGAGAAATGTCTATTCATTTCAGATGCCCATGTTTTGACTGAGTCTTTAAATTTGGGGCAGTCTGATGCTTTTGTTTTTTATATATTCTGGATATTATTCCTTTGTCTGAGAAATAGCTGGTAAAAATAAGATTTTACCATTTTGTGGGTTTACTCTTCACTCTGTTGGTGGTTTCTTTTGCTGTGCAAAAGCTTTTTTAAAAAGTGTTTTTAATTTGATGTAATCTCAGTTGTTGGCTCTTTGTGATATTTCCTGTGCAATCGGGGTTTTGTTCATAAAGTACTTACCTACCCCTATGTCTTCAAGAGTTTTACCTATTTTATCTTCTAGCAGATTCAGTTTTTCTGTTTTCATATTTAGATCTTTGATATATTCTGATTTTAGTTTAGTGCATGGAAAGAGACATGGCTCTAGGTTTAATCTTCGGCATGTGGAAAGCCAGTTTTCCCAGTACCATTTATTAAAGAGGCTATCTTTCTTCCAGTGAAGCTGTTTGACCGCTTAGTCAAAGATAAAGTAGCTGAGTGTGTTTGGAGTTGTTTCTGCATCTTATATTCTGTTCCATTGATCCTCAGTTCTTCTTGTTGCCAGCACCATGCTGTTTTTATCACAGTAATAGCTACTAAATTTTCAACCCCAAAAGTGTTGTTCTGTTGAGACCTAAAGAACTTTCTCTACTAACACTGTAAAATCTTAAACATATCAAATTTTATTTACTTTCTTTTAAACTGTGATTCAAAAATAAAAAATATGGTTGAATATTTGCTGAGTTTTTAAGTTATTTTGACCTTGTCAATAAGAGTCCAGAAATCACCTCCCTTGTTGCCACTTGCTTTTTCTAAGATAAATGTGGAGAAACTAATGCTTAAGTAAAGATATAATTCTCAAATTTTAAAACTCAGGAATAATCCATAAGGAGGGCTTATTGTAATGTACTATACCCAATTCATACCCTGTAGTGTTTATGTGTAAGGCCAACTTTATCAATTGGTCTACGTAAACATGGGCACATACATTTATTCTCCCCTGTGTTTCTAAAATCACTCTTATTAAATCCTGAGCAGAAATAAAAGAATATTTATCAAGCCTATGTAAGATAAACTGGGTATGGTAGTACACACCTGAAATCTCAGATACTTGGGAGGCTGAGGCAGGATGGTCAAAAGTTAGAGACCAGCCTAGGAAACTTAGCAAAATCTTGTCTCAAAAAAAATGGACCAAGGACATAACTCAGTGGTGAAACACTTTCCTAGCGTGCATGAGGTCCTGAGTTCAACACCCAGTATCAAAAAAAAACTGAATCAAACCCATATATATATATGATAAAAGCCTATGTAAATATAAATATATAACATATATATGATAAAAACAATAACATGAGTAATACCCACATACCCTCCAACTCAGTTAAGTAAAGGATATGTGTGAAATCCACTGTGATAACTACCCTGACCCCCAACTCATTGCCTACCCTGTCAGAGGTTACTTCTCAGTTTTCTTAATAGCTTGCCACATATGTTTATGTCTCTAAAGATAAAATGTTAAATTTTACATGCTTTTATAACTTTATTCTTTTGAATAAAATATATACATTCTTCTGCAAATTTTCTGTTTTGGAAAAACATTATCCTTTAGAGATTCACGTGTATTGCTACATATAGCAGCATTTCGACCATTTACATTGTTCAGTATTATTCTGTAATATGAATATACCACATTTTTATTTTCCCATCCTACTGTTAACTACTCCTGCAGTATTTCTATGTTTTTGCTATTACAAATCATCTTCATAACAAACATAGATGTTTTCACAAATGCACTCTAATTTGTAGGTGCACCAATTGTCACATCACAGTTTATTGAAAATTTTATTTCATATACATTAATTTTCAGGTAAAGCTTTATTATATATCAAATTTTCATATAAAACTAGATTGTTTCTGGGACTTCTATTTTGGCCCATTGGTCCATTTATCTACCTCTGAGCAATATTTTATCTCATTAGTGTACCTTTATAATAAATCTTGATTTCAAGTATGACAAAGTGTTCAAGTTCTTTAAAAGCCTTAATATTCTTTGTAATATGAAATTCTGCATATATTTCAGTTTCAGCTTGTCAAGTTTCCAAAAATATCATCTTGGAATCTGATTGGAATTACATTGTACTCATAGATTAATTTAAATGCCTAAGGCTTAAAATCTTGTATATTCTGCTGCATCCTACATAATTTCAGATACAGATAATCATTACAATTCACTTGTAAATATTTTAAAATTTCTATTATTTCTTCTTTGATCTTTGTAAGTAGTATATATCTTAATTTTGAAACACTTGGAATTTTAAAATTATGATAATGATTTCTAACTTGTTTTGTGGTCAGAGAAGATAGGTTATGGAATCTTTTGGAATTTATTGAGACTTGCTCTTTATGCCACTATATGATAATTTTATTTATTTATTTATTTATTTAGGTACCAGGGATTGAACTCAGGACCTTGCACTCACGAGGCAGGCACGGTGCCACTGAGCTAAATCCCCTGCCCTACGTGGTAATTTTTTAAAAGTCCAGGTTTGTTTGAAATTATGCACTAAAGAATTTAATCTTGGCCAAAAGGTTCTGATAAAAATTTTAGCTACTCTCTTTTTTTCTCATTGCTGGTACAAAATATCTGACACCCACAAGTTAAAGGAGAAAAGTTTTGTTTTGGCTCACAGTTTGTAGAGGTTTCAGTCCATAGTCAGCTGGCTCCAAGGCAGAGTGGCATGGCAGAATGCTATGGCAGAGGAAAAACAGCCTGTGGCATGCCAGGCAGGGAGCAGAAGGACTTCCTTCCTTCCCTTTTCATTCTGTCCAGGCTAAAAGCCTATTGGTTGGTGCCACTCACACTCAGGGTAGGTCTTTCCTCTTTAGTAAGTCAGAACATCATCCACTCCCAGAACTATGCTAAACCAATCAGTGGACTGACCTAGTATCACATAGTCATGATTCAGTCACCTCCCCAAAGTCCCACCTATGAGCACATGAGCCTTTGGGGGGACATCTAGATATAAGCCATAATAGCTACTGTATTAAAATATGTAATGGTTGTTTGTTTCATTTTGGAGTTATTCCTGAGGTTAGTTTTAATAAGATATTAATATGATTTCCCCAGATCTATATTCAAGTTTATATTTTTCATCAGCTATTTCTAATCAACTGTTAAACTCATTCATTGAATTTTTATTTCAATTACTGTTTTTCTGATACTTTTACATTTTAAATCTACTTACACATTTGCATAGTGTCTTGCTACTTTTTCTTATTTTAACCCAGTTTCTATACTTTTAGAACTATTGAAACTATTTAGAAAACCTACTATGTGTCTAATAATTTAATATTTTCACTATTCTGGGTCTGATTCTGTGCTCTGTTGTTCCACTGTTTTGCATTCACCATGTTTGATGTCTTACACCATTTGATGATAAGTTCATAGTTTAAGGAATTTGAGCTAAGAGACTGCATTAAAGTAAGGGTTGAAACAATTTATTCAAAGATCTGCATTTATTTCTGTCAAGTACCTGAAGCATTTTTAGCCCAGGATCACTTTAAATAAATCTCCTTAAATTTTCTCAGATCATCCAGATTGTATGAATTCCAACTGAGATCTCACAGGAGGAACAACCTATTCTCAAGTAAGATTTTCCTCCTTCCATTCATCTCCAAATTTTAATATCCTTGTGGGAAGAGATATTTAATTCTTTCTTAGTTTGAAGATGTAACCTGTTGGGATTTCAACATTTTATAGGCATGCAGACATATGAGTGATCTCCTATTACACTCTAAGTAGGCTCAGATCTTTGTGTCCTGTTCCTCAATGCCTGGGAGGCCATTTTAAACTCATATTCACCGATTTAGCAAACCTTGTTTCAAAATCCAAACTGAATGAATTGTTCTTTCACCTCTGAGTTTCTGTTTAATTTAATTTTCAGCTCTGAGCAATGGTTACTAATTTGCAGGCTCATTAATACATTAAAAAGAATTTACTGTCTCGTGTAACTTTTTAAAAAGTTGTACAGTGGACTCTTGACTTATGAACTTGATCGGTTCCCGAGGGCTGATTGTAACTCAAGTGGGTTGTAGGTCAATACAGCTGAGATCTCAATGGGTGCACGCTATAGATAACAAGAGGCAGATGAATCTTCATTAACCTAATTAACCCAAGTTGTTCATATGTCAGACCAGTCGTGAGTTGAGGGTCCACTCTACTTAGTGGTAAGGGTTTTTAGGGGATGTAGACTGCTTCACTGTTTCATAGAAAGGATTTTAATATATTTTTTAAATTTCATTGTTAATTTTATTGGTAAATTTTAGATATACATAGTGATCATATTCATAATAGGGAATTTGTACCTTTACATAATATATCTAGATTCTTCTTTCATTTTTCCCCAATTCCATCCCCTTCTTTCAATCCCTCTTTCCCCTGGAAAAAATGGAAACAGATTTTTGTAAATCACATGTTTTCACTGTCAGACTCCCTCAATTAAAATATGTAAGTCTTTTGTTTTAGATTTTTAAAAAAATCTCTGTTTTCAAATGTTTGTCAAATAGTTAAGAATCTCTGTTATTTCAAATTGTATAATCTGAGCAAGAGCTAAGGCTTTACTTTGATCCATACAAGTAGAAGAGTATGTTTTGTAAAAATGAATGTTGCTCTGATAGTCAGAATTTGATGGTTTAGTATTAAGAAAAAGTATGAATAAGAGTATTATAAACTGTATTTTAAAAATTCTGTTTTCCCTTCTCTTTAAGTAGATTATGTAGCTCTACTCATTGCCATCTGACTTGCCATACATAGCATGGGAACAGTGTATATCCCTAGTTCAGTACTGGTTGGAGAGAGGGAAATATTTAACTCTGTGTTTCTGTGTAAGTTTTCATGTAACTCATCAAAATTCTTGAGTACTTATCATATGAAAGAAACTCTGATAGATGTTGTGGAAGATCCAAGATGAATCAGGCCTCTTGTCTGTACTGGAGTGGCAAACAATGCCATGGGAAATATGGATGAATTCATTTTAAAAACTAAAATACAAGGTAAACAGCAATGAGTGCTATAGATTGTCAAGGAAATACAGCAAAATATGGAATAAATTCCAACGGGGAAGTTGGAAGTGGTATACTGAATGTTTAAAAACTGCCTCTCTGGTGATAAAAACCCTCATTTGTACATTTACCAGTTTCTATGGTATAAATTCCTTCACCGTGGTTGATTTCAATGTCAACTGGCTCAAAAACGTCTGAAAATATAACAAATGGATTTTTGCATGATGAATAATGGAATATTAATTAGCCAAAAATATGAAATTCTGTCATTTACAGCAACATGGAAGAACCTGGAAGATTATTATGTGAAGTATGTCAGACAGAGATAGACAAATACTGTAAGATCTTATCATATGTGCAATCTAAAATGTTAATTTCATAAGAGCAGAGAATATGATAATGGTTACTAGAGGATTGGGTGAGTAAGAGGGGATAGAGAGAGGTTGGTCATGGGTACAAACTTATAGTTAGATCAGAGTAAATTCTATTGCACAAGAGGTTGACGCTAGTTAACAACAATGCACTGCATAGTATACTTCAAAATAACTAGAAGATAGGCCTTTGAATGTTTCACCATAAAGAAATGATAAACGTTTGAGGTGTTGGATACACTGATTAGCCTGATTTGATCATTACACAAAGTATGATTACACATGTATCAAAACAGCACATTGTACCCCATAAATTTATACAATTATTGTGTGTTGATTAAAAATAAAATGAAATTTGAAAACAAACCTGCTGGAAAGTGTAACTACACCAAATGAAGGAATAGAATAGCAATGGGAAAAAATAGAGTCCAAATAATAGAGGAACTAACATAGAAGAGAGGCAAAGGCAATTCCCAAGATTGTAGAGAAGTCTTATGATGATAGCATTGCAGCATGCCTGCTGAACAAAATCAGATATAGTCAGGAAGATAGGGTCCTCAAGTGCATGCTTCTTTGAACCACTTCTTAAAGACAGGAACTATTTGACACACTTCAGAGGAATTTTAGTTTCATTGATGAGTATGGAGAGAATTAATAATAAGTAAATAAAAAACCAAGAAATTAAACACATATGAAACATTTATTTTCAGGAAAATAAGGTGTATAAGAAAGGAAGGGCATTTTTCTTCCTATTTCACATTATCTATTATACCTTTTAGTCCTTATTTACACTTTGTTTCTCACACTAGAGAAACTATTCGGTATTTACACATGTGTGTCCTATTTATTTCACTTAAGAGTGTCGCCTCAATGTGCATCCATTTAGC